CAGGGAGATGGAGGCGGGAGGCAGCTTAAGACGCCTGGCTTTCTGAGACACAGACCAGCAGACCAGCGAGCCAGGAGGAGGGGATGCGCCTGAGTCGCAGCAACAAGCATTGGGATTCTTCAGTTCTCTGGGAATTGGGGGAGCTGCTGGCAGAGTCCTGGCCCTTAGCCCCAGTTTCCCCAAGAGGTCCTGCCAAGCCCTGGCACCTTCAGCCTGGGCCTCGGCTCAGATTCAGAAGCCAGCCACCCTTCCCTGCAGCCGCAGCCGCCACCCCAGGCCCGGTCGGTCGCTGCCCTCCTCCCTACCCTCACCCGTGACCTCCATGGTGGTGTCCGTGGCGGACTCCAAGGCGCCCAGGCCGTGTGAATGCCGGCTGCCCGCTGGGTTCGGACTCGGAAGGGCCGGCGAGCCGAGGAGAGGTTCCCAGACAAGGCCAGGCCCCGGGCCGTCGCGACAGTGCCCGTGCCCCAAAGCAGCAGCGAGCGCGGGCCGAGGTGTAGGTGTGAGAAGTGTGGTGGGCATGGCCTGGCCTGGACGCAGGTCGGGGCTGTGCGGCGCGTGTGCGCCCGCGCCCGCCGCAATGGGCCTGCGAGTGACCTGTCCTCGGCTGGGAGCGGGTGTCGAGAGTGGGGCGCGCGGGCGGGAGGCAGCGGCCTGGGACTCGATGGAGGGCCGCTGCCCGCGAGTGGGCCTGGGTCGGCCGGGGCGGTGCGAGCCCGGCAGTCTGCGGAACGCAGCGCGGCGCCGCGGGGCGTGCGGTCGTGGTTGTCGAGGCTCCGCGCTTGCCAGCCGCGCGGCACGGCCCAGCCGCTCGCCCTCGCTTCCCGCCCCTCTAATTTAAACCATGCGGGGCACCCGGCCCCGGCCCAGTCGGTGGGGCCCAAAGCTGCAGGGAGGGCTCGGGGCCACGCGGTGGGAGAGCGGGCGGCCAGCTCTGGGCTCGGGGTCCTGGGGCCACCAAGTGCAGGGACCTTAGAGCCCCCCTCCCCGGGGGGCGGCGGGCGCAGACTGATTGACAGTGGCGACGTCAGCGCAGGGAGTGGGGGGGCGGCCCCGGAGGGTGGAAAGGAGGAGGAGGGAGCTGAGGCCCCAAAGTGCAGCCTAGGAGATCAAGGGCCCGCTCCAGAGCCGGGATGCGTCCTGCCCCGAGGGCGAGGCAGGCAGCGGGACTCTAACCCGGCGGCCCCAGTCGGAACCCCGCTGTCTCGCGCTCCCAGAACCCGAGCCTGCAGTGGACCTCGGGCGGCAAACGCCCCCGCATGCGGCAGCGCAGTTAGGGTGAGTGTCGGTGCCGGCGGGGATGGGGGTGAGCCCCGCGTGCAGGACAGGGGCCGCCCGGAGCCCAGGGTCCGGCTGCAATCGCGAAGAATGAGCTGGGGAATGAATATCGGGACCTGGTAGGGACCCTGAGGACGGTCAAGGCTGCAGGAGGGCGGCGCGAAGGGCCTCAGGTCAGGCCGCTGGCTCGGCCCGAGTCCCAGCGGCTGGGGAGAAAGCCCTTCTCTCTTCGGAATAACGGGACTAATTGGATATAAACATAAAAAATGCCAGTGCCAGGGTGTCAAGATTAAGGCACAACAAGAAAGGCTGCGGCCTTGAAATTGGCGTTTGCAGAGTAAGAAAGGCCAAGATCGGGCCAGGGTACTTGCGGCGAATATCCATGTAGAAATGTGAGTGAATGTAATCTGTGATCTTTGGGGCTTTGCTGCAACAGGCTTGTCAAAATTAAAGCAAGGAACATTATGTGTAAGTAAGGATCGTTGTTCAAGAATTACCAAAATACAAGCAATTACCAAAATACAAGCAATTACCAAAGGACGGGGCTAAAAAGAGCATAACTAACACAGTGCTCAGATTTTAAAACAATAATATAATGGTCACTTTCAGAACCCAGTGAAAATAATTCGAAACCACAAATTTAAAAGGAGTAAAGACAGAGTAACTTCAAATTTAGAAACGATGTCATAAGGACCATTCTATTAAAATCAATAACAATAGTAAAAGAAATGCAGATAGTGTGACACATGGTGAGATTGTAGAAAAGGTGAATAGTGAAAAAAACTATTAAGGGAAATGCTTATATTGGTAGATCGATAGAATACTATCAAATAATGTATTATTGATGCGGTAGTGAACTCTTAATAATAACCAGAGTGTTAAGAGCAATGGCAACATACAGAAACGAGAAGTGCTTGAGTAATGTGACAATTTATGACAAAGGTATTAATAAACTCTACAACACTATAAATAATGGTAAAGTAATAAGAAGTACTGTACCAATATGATGAAAAATAATCAGAGTATCGCTAGCTACGGCAAAATTAAAAATTATAACGAAATTTCAAGAAGTAATGATGTGATGAAAAGTAACTAGCAAATTAAGATCAGTGACATTACAAATAATGACAAAGACACAAAATATTGTAATGATGTGATGAAGAATACCCAGAAAATTATGAACAATGCTAACGAAATAAATTAAGGTAAAATAGCAGGTCTTACAAGGGGGTGAAATAAATTAACTATAATATCACAAGTATATGGTAAATAGGAAGTCATTGAAAATGTGATAAAGAATAAGGAGCCAGCAATGGAAATATTTTAGGGGTACAGCATAAAAGTGCAAATAATTATAGATTAACACAACCTACTGAAACACTTTTCCAGTGTTTACTTAGGAGTTGGGAACAGTATTACTAACATGCCAGGAAGCCCTGGAATGATGGAGCAAACACTGACAGAAAAAAACAATATATTTAATAACGATGACTGAATAGATCAAACTAGTACTTTAACCACACGATTATAAATTCAAAGTAGTAATCACCTATGTCACGGGATAGTCTTAATGTTACCGAACATACCAGAATGGTATTCTGCTAATAAAGACAATGAAAATAATTTAAATAGTGCTGAATATTAACGATTTTCTCAGTGCAAGAAAAATAGCAACAGTAATGTTGAATGAAAAGGAAAATGCTTTTAGTTCTTGGAGAACCAGGAGACTGAAAGTGACCATCAAGAGCGCAGAGGTCAGGGCCCGGCTGGACGCGCCAATAGAGGGGTCTATGTGGACCCCAAGCGTGGAGTCTGCACGGAGCACCGGCCGCGTATGTGTACAGTGGGTCCCAGTGCCTCAGGGCTGGGGGCCGCGGGGAGATAGTTGCCTCCACGCCAGCGGCCGCCGAGCAGGAAGAAAAGGGAATTAGCCGGGAGCTTCAGCAAGAGCGAGTTGCAGTCCTGTCGCTGTGGCTCAGTGGCTGAAAGAAGAGAGGACAGGCGAAGCTGGGGCCGAGGAGCATCGCAAAGCCCTCCTCCCTAGTCGGGGCGGCCAGGCTGGCAGTTGTGGCCACGGCCACGCGCTGCTGCCGCCGCCAGCGCCCAAGGCAGGTCAGAGAGTGCGGGCTTGAGCGGGAAGGCCCGCTGCACCGCTAAGAAGTAGCAAGCACCGGAAGGGGAGCGGGTAGACAAGTCAGCAACGTGCCAGGTGGCCCCTCCTCCTGGCCTGGGGGGCTGAGGCACCTGGGGCCGGCTGACAGAGGTGTGCATCCCAAAGGACTCCAGGTAGAGTTGAAATCCCAGGGGGTAGGCTGCACCCCACTGTCCCCCAGGGCTTCCTGAGCTACCGGAGTGGATTCCTGTACCCTCACCTGGCCCGAGGGGGGTGCAGCACTGGCCAACTCCCAGAAATCTTGCTCTGTGCAGCCCCTGGTCTGAAGGAGGAAGGCGGATGGGATTGCCAGCCTTATCTTTATGGGCTTTTCCCAGCCCCAACTGGCCTGGTCCACTTTTTATCTCCTAGGTTGCACTTGGCTTGTTTACTTTGTAAGGCTCTGGGAGCCAGTCTCTGCCTCAGGATGGGGAGGCCAGTGGACAGGTTGTGGAGCCTGGGGTTTCCAGGGGAGAAGAAAAAGAAGGTAGGAGAGAAGGGAGCATTCATCCACAAAAGAGGTAGTCAGACATACAAAAAGGCCCACATCCAGAAAAAGGCACAGAAGAGCAAGGAGGTGGAAAGGAGAAAGCAGAGATAATCCCGACTGCACCCCGGGTGGAGGCAGGACAGGCAGGCTCTCCTGCGGACAGCCCAGCACCAGTTTCCTTGAGGGAGCAGGAATCCAGGCAGGCCGGTGATGCTCCTGGTCACGGAAAAGGATGGCCATTCCATGGGGAAGGACGAGGCTGTCTGTGGACTGGACCCACCCTTAGGGCCTAGTTCCCTAGTTCTTGGCTGAAAAGGATTTGGGCTCTTTACCCAAAGTAGGGCCCAGCTAGAGAGAGTGAGCCAGCCCGTGGGGATGTGCGGCCGTGCTGAGGAGGCCCTTGGCTGAGTCAGGCCTTGGTCAGAGCTACCTAGAGAAGTGTACCTGCTTGGGTGGCTAGGAAGAGCTCGAGGGTCCTGCACCTGGGTGTGAGAATACGTGTGTCTGTGTGGGTGACATGCAGGGTTCCGCATGTCTCTGCCTGACTGTGTCTGGGGGAGTGGGTGAGCGCAGAGGCCTGAGGGGTACCCCGCCAAGGGTCTTCCCTGCAGATGGGAGCCCATTGGCCATGGGCGCTGCCTCCTGACTCTCCGCTCTTGCTTGCAAAGAAAGTGTCCTGGCTCCTCACTCTTGAGTGAGGCCTGGATCCCAGTTATTAGGGAACAGACCCAGGTCTCAGACTCCACTGGATGGCTCCCAGCAGGAGGGAGGGACTGGGGGTGCACCTGGGGCAATGCCGAGAGGGCGGTCCTTCCCCCAGACCTACTCATCACACAGGCTCACACCCAGGGCAGGCAGACCTTGGGCCACTTGCAGACTGTCCCAGACCCAGAACCCCGAGGGAGGAGGCAAGGGTCCTGCCCTCCACATATTTTCCCTCCCCCAGCCCAGGAGGGGCGGGGTCCACAGGTGCCAGGGCGGCCCCCAGCCTCACCGCCCCCCCCCCCAGGAGAGGATTGCGGCTCTGGGGTTAAGAGTGGGCCTGGGCATGTGACTGGACGTGTGCTGTGCCCACAGGAGATGCTGCAGGATAAGGGCCTGTCCGAGAGCGAGGAGGCCTTCCGGGCCCCGGCCCCAGCGCTCGGGGAGGCCAGTGCGGCCAGCACGACCAACCCCCGGGAGCCGGAGCTGGCAGGGCCGGGTCTCAGCGGAACCCCGCTCGGCAGTCCCCGGGGCCCCGGCGCCGACGTCGCAGCAGCTGCCACAGCCGAGCAGGTAGGGTGCGGAGGTCGGGCACTGTCCATCCGTCTGCGGGGTCACCTGTGTCAGATCGCCCCGCTGCGGCCAGGACTCGCTTCCCTTCCCGCGGGGCTGTGTCCCGAACCGCCTGCAATCGGTTCTCCCGGGGCGCGTTCAGTCTCCGGCCCTTCGACCCACGTCGGCTCGGAGCCCTCGGAGCCACGTCGGGACTGGCGGGGAGGGTCTCCTGGGGCCGCAGGCGAGCCCGGGCGGGGAGTCGTCCCTCTCGACGACCCCGAAGGGCGGGACAGAAAGCCTGGGTCGAGGCGGGAGGGAGTCGACCCTGGCGGGTAAGTGCTGGGACCGCGCGGAGCTCCGAGGCCGCGGGGACGTCGCGAGGAAGGTCTCGGCGAGCACTGGACGATCTTAACGAAAGCGACCCGGCCGTGCGCGGCCCGACCCCGGCGCTGCTGTCGGAGCACGCTGGGCTGCCGGTGCGCGGGTGGGAGATGAAGACGCGAGCCCCCACCCCGGCTCTCCCCCTCCCGGGTCTGGTTCTGCCGCAAGCCTGCGGTTCTGTCCAGCCACGTGGAGTGTTTGTGTTGGTGGAGGAGTGTGTCATTTATGGTCACTTTATGTGTCCTGTGTGGGCGCCTCTATAGGTATAGCGAAGAAGAGGGACGTTTCAGCTACTGAGGAAAATTTTTCCAGTTCCTCAGTGGTACAAAATAATTTTGTGAAACGAAATCTCCAGGCTTAGGCTCCTGGGGCTGGTAACCTTCTCCAATCGGAGGGTTCCGTGTGAAGCCAGGGGCCAGGCCAACAAAAGTAGCCCTCCCTCCCATCCCCAGACCATCGAGAACATCAAGGTGGGACTGCATGAGAAGGAGCTTTGGAAGAAGTTCCACGAGGCGGGCACCGAGATGATCATCACCAAGGCGGGCAGGTCAGCGCTGGGACATTTACTTTGATGGGATGGAGACAGGAGGCCGGTGGGAAGCTTGGGGACCCCCAGGGGCCCCTCAACAGTCCTCCAGACCTGGCCTGGGGAGCCTTGGGCGTTTCTTCGTTCACTACTTCTCTACCGCCTTACAAGGCCCCAGGTTTCTGTGTCTGCCGCAGACTCCTCCGAGAAGCCCCCCGGGGCTCTACCCTGCAGGGGAGTCCGGCGGTTTGAACGAGCGGGTGGGGCAGCGTTATGCAAACGAAATGCAAATAAGGATTGCGGCTCCCTGGTGGGGGCCGGCAGCACGTTGGGGCCCTGGGGGGCTTGCCTTGGCTAGCTTTGAGGGACCAGTGGGATTTCTCAGAATGGCATTGATTGGAGACCCAAAAGTGCCGCTCAAAAGATGGAGAAAGGGGCCATGACGATCTTTTCCTATTTCCATAACTTTTTGGCAGTTAACGTGAACCCCAAGTCTCTCAACTCAGGGCACCGTTGCTTCCGTGCCAGCTCGTCCGCAGCCAAAAGCATTGGGCCCAGTGCGTTGTTGGGGGAACAGCTCTCGGGTGGCTGCCAGAACAGGATGATTTATAAAGTGGAAACATCTTTAAAATGCACTGGTGTCTGTGGGAGAGAACCCTGGAGGGGCGAGTGAGAGGAGGGAGACACAGAGGGACCTGAGGGAGAGATTCGCTGGGGTGGTGCCTCTGGGGTGGGGCAGGAATCGAGGCGCAGAGCAGTTATCAGGTGAAAGGAGATTGCTGCCGACTGAGAAATTGGCAAATTCAGGTTCAGAGCCCTCCTCCCCATAGCCTCACACTTGATTTTGGTCCCTGTGGAAAAATGACATGTGAAAGGGTCCCTTTTCCTTCCCACATCTGGGGCTTCCAGAGAATAAGAGGGTGACGCATCAGGGGCCAGTGAGGGAAGTAGAGGCCCTGGGATTCCATTTTAGCTTAGCTGCTTGCATCTGCACACCCCTCCGCAAGACTCCGTAAGGGTCTCCGCCCTCTCCCAACTCCATCTGTAAAATACCAGTGGTACAGAAGCGCTTAGCATAGCTCTTGGCCTCAGGTAAGCACACAATAAATGCTAGTTAACATTAATCATAAGTAGGGAAATGTCTGGCATCCACTTAGCATTTTTCTCCTAATTTTTAGAGAATTCTGCTGAACTGTTCAGCTAGGGAACGATGAACTAGTCAAAGGAAAGAAAAAGTTGGTGCAGTGTCAGTGTTGGGGTGCTGCGGTCCTGTCTACTCTGTCTGCTGCCTGCTTGTCTTACAGGGTTTCCTTTGCCTTGTTGGGGTCCAGACCCTTGGCTGCTTTCACATCTAAAGGAGGGAGGTGGCATCAGTCGGTGAAGGTGCCAAGGCTTCCAGTCCATGCATTTGGGATGGAAAAGGAGCAATGGGGGAGGGCTGGTAGAGGGTGCCACGTAGAGTGTGGGCCAGCTGCCTCAAGCCTGCTTCTTCCTAGCTGACTTCACTTGGGCAGGTGCCTAAACTTCCGGTGACTCGGTGGCATCAGGTAAAACAGAGATGCTCATTGCAGATCTTTTGCTATTCTTCCTCCTCCTCCTCCTTTATTATGGTGAGACTCAAACCAGGGATTGTATGATCAGTGTTCAGCAAATTGTTGAGTGGATTACAGGCGTGAAGAGGGAGCATTTATTTCTTGTAACTTCTGGAGTAGAGGGAAGGAAAAAAGAAAGATTCAGAACTTCCATTTTTAGGCAGCAGGAATAAACCTGACTCGAAAATAAATGGCCAGCATGCTCCTTGGGCATACCTGGTCTTTGCCATTTAAAACAAAAGGCACTTGTGATTTGCCTCAGTGGGGTTTCCTGCACCTGTGAAGGTCCTCCTCCCTTCTCACCCCCAGAGTACCCTGGACCGAGCATACGTGTGCTTGAGCATGCATGCACACACATACACACACCTAGAGGTGACCAATTTCAGGCAGATGTTTGCCTGATCCTAGGCTTGGAGATGGGCTTGTTAATAATCTTAAATGGCTGTGATAATGTTGGCTAATTATGGATTCACCAGCCTTTCATTTGTCAGGAAGAGAGTGACTCTTGCACCAAACTGAGTCCCTGAGAAAGTCACTAGCCTCAACTTTCCTACCCCACAGACCCTTTTTTCCTCCAACTTCTGCTGCTCAGATCCTGTCTCTTCCCTGCCTCCCTCCTTCCTTCCTCCCCCTCGGGCAGCCTCAGGAGGTAACTAGCTTTGCTAGAGCCTGTGGCTCTCCAATATCTCATTAAGTGCCTCTCCCTGACCCCTAAACTCTTTCTGGGACACTACTCTGGAACCTTGAATCTAGATATCTGGCTAGAGCTGGAAGAGAACTGAGAGAACATAAACCCAACCCCAAAGAAGAAAAGGCAGGGTTAGGTGGTTGCCAGGTCTATACAAGCCAATAGATAATATACCCCACTCCAGATCAAAACCGCGCAACATTGCTTATTTACAAGGGCTGTTCAAAAGGAGGTCATTACTCTTCCCTAGAGACCCTATCTGGTTAGGGACAGGATCATTACTGTCTGGTTGAGGAAGTGGAATGCCTTGGAAGAGAAAGGGATCCAGAACATTTCCAGACCACTTTGAGTGCCTGGGTCACAACAAGTCTCTTGCCTTAATCCCTGGGAGGTCTCAAGGTCAAAGGAAAGGACCATCTCTTCTATTGGAGAGTGACTTTGAATGTTCAGATGATTTGATCTAGAGAATAAAATGGCCAACACGGTGCAAGAACTGGATGTCAGGTGTAAAATCAGCACCAAGCCCTCCCCAGCTAGTCTCTGTCCCTCTGTCTCCTACACCCAGAGGGCTATGCTGTTAACTGCGGAGAGCAGAGCCCTCTCTGGCTTCTCACATCCCTGCCAAGCTTGATACATGTGAGAAACTGCATTTTCTCCCAAACACAGATAAAAGTGAGCTCCACAAAAATTTAAATATAAACCTCCCCCAAATGAAAATTTCCTAATGGTCTGGCCGCTCTACTCCTAGGTCATGGTTTTGCCACCAGATAAATCTCCACTATCAGCCTTCATAGCCTGTTGAGTTCAATGTTGCTTGTGTTAGTGACAGTGAATTTGCGTTTGAAAAATGAACTACCGATGAGAACTCCTGTTGAACCTGTATTGTTTGTTATTCTGAGGCAAGGATTTGGCCCGGCTTAATCCGGGGCTTCAAAGCCAATTGCCCTGGCTCTGTATACAGAGCGTCAGACCCAGTGGCGTGGGTGATAAGAGAAGTAAGGGTTGAAGACACTGGGAAAGTGGGTTGGGGAGAGAGTGCTTTGATCTCTTTTTAAAGTATTTTCTGAAAGCAAAAGTATCAGAAGGAAGTGTCTTAGAAAAAAAAAAATCCAAGAGAAGCAACTGACCCTCCAAAACAGCATCCATTCCACACACCCTCACTCCTGCCCCTAAACTGGGGGAAATGTTTCTTAAAAATGCTTTGAGGGACTTAGAAAACTCTGTGTGTGTGTAAAGTAGAAATAAATTACATAGCTTTGCCATTGTTCCCCAAATTATTTGGTCTGGTATAGGCAGCACCAGCAACCCCCCCTCCCCCAACCCCCTTGGTTGCTGGGCCCTGGCCTCTTCCCAAAGTAGTCAGGATTCTTCCTCGGGGTCCCCAGAGGAGGGAGGGGCAGCTGGTGGGTTTGGGTGGCCCCTAGCCCTTGCCTGCAGTGTGCTCTCCAGCTCTGGGCTCCAACAGTTGCGTGCTGGGGCAGGTTGTGTCTACACATACATGCACGTGTCATTTTTAAGGTCCTTTTACTGAAGTGGGGCAGTCCTGAGGAAAGCAACTAGATGGTCGTGGTACTGCGCTATAGACGTAAACGAAATGAACACAGCTCGTACCACCCCCAGATAGACTCAGGTCACCTGCCCCCAGATCACCCTGCGCCCCTCCGAGTCACCACTCCCCTCCCAGCGAACTCTCCCTGGAGTCCTTGCGCCTTGCACTTAGTTTTGCATCTACCTTTAAATCGGGGAAGTCGGACTCGAAGATTTGGGCTTAGGAGGTCCAGCTAAGTGGAGAGCACCCGCAGCCCGCCCCCCCAGCTCTGCCATTCTGCACCCCCACGCCACTCCCACCCAGCAGGTTTGAGGGGTGACTAGATGATGCCTTGACTTTGGCAAGCGCTTTGGCCCTGACACCCCAGTGACTGAGTCCAGCTGTAACCTGCTGTCCCCTCTCAACCGCGCGTTCACATTTGCCGGTTTGCGGCCAAAACCAGGATGCCCGAGACCGTTGCTCAGCGCCCCGAAGTCTCCCACGCTGAAAACGTCGGAGGACGCTTATCCTAGCAGTTCATTCTAAACCCATTTCCGAGTACGCAGTAGATAAAGGCCCCAGCCCCGCACCCTTCAGGGCCTGTTTCATGATCAGAGGAGAAACCCC